ACAATGAAGAAAATGTATAGCATATATATCATGGCTCAATAAACTGAAATGTTTTTATGAGTCTTTCTTAAAAATTCTGATTACTGATAATAATGCAACTTATGATGAAAAATTCTGGGTTTCCTTTTATTCTAAAATTCATCTGGGACGTATTTCATCTGACCACAGCCTCAGGTATTCCTCTGTCACTAATTAGAGAAATACTGAATATTTCAACTATAAATTGCTTAATTATATTTGTCAGCCTGCTCTAAACCAATTAATTATTTACTTGTAAAAAATCTTTGATGCCATACTATCCAGAGGTTCATTTCTGGAATACAGACCAGGAGCTATATTTCCTCTTTACTCCAATTAAGCTGAACATTTGTGAAAGTGAAATATATTGCTGTGATACCAGATGATTTACAATATTACTCACTAGAAAAAAATGAATCACATTCCTTATATTTCAAGTTCTGTTGCTATCCTTTATAAAGCATTAAGTCCCTTTCATATTCTTTCATAAAAGACTTTCCTATGATTTCCTCCCCCAATGTAGCCTCTTTTATAAAGAACTGTTCATACCATAAACAGGCATTCAGTAAAAATTTTAGAATTTTTTAGGGCAAAAAAAAAAAAAGAAAAAGAAACCTTCATGCATTATAACTCTATCTTCCCCTATGCCAGCATAAATAACTCAATCTCTTATCAACTCCCCATGAGAACAGTGTGTAAAATAGTAGGAAAATGCTGTGAGTGCTCTACACCTATGTGTGCCACCTACTGGCTCCTGGAACAGAAAAGTATAGAGCAGTAAAAGAACCTCTGTGTGTGTGTATTCACCACACATTTAGTGAGTTACTATTATCATCCATGTACCTTCCTAAAAACTGAAGGTAGTTAGACAAGCAAAGCAGACATGACCCCTGTACTCAACAGAGCTTTGAGTAAAACTGGAAAACAGACATCAGCAAAATATCACAGAAATAACTGCATGGTTTTATTATTGGGTATCATGAAAGAAGAATATTGCACAGTACCAACAGCATGAAACAAACTATGAGCAGAAAGAAAAAATCCACAAGAAAGTAAAGTCTAAGTGGTAAACTGAAGGATAAACAGACATAAAGTCAGTTCAAGAAGGGCGAAAAGACAGGATTGCATGCATGCCCCAAGAATAAAAAGCATGGGGAATTCAAAGGATTTGAGAGGGTGCACAGCAGGGGCCAGACTGCCAAGGAAACCTTCACTGAGCACCTTATCTGTGCTGGGCACCATTCTCAGCACAAGGACCAGAGGCTAAGACAGCTCACTGCAAAGTTTTCATTCTAGATCTCACAAGACTGGGTAAACCCTGTCTGAAACTTTCCACTTCATGTTCATGAAGAGTATGAAAAGAAAGTATTAATTTTTCTTCTTTTTTCCTCCCTTACTATTTTTAAAGACTGATAGAGAAAAATTTGAGGAATGCATGCTAGATGCTCAGAGAAAGTTTAAAAAGGTGATGGCAGGACTTTCCAATTAGGGAGAGAAAGGAAAATGGAGCTGGGGGAAAGACTGAAAAGACATTTAGAAGAAAAATGAGTAAAACTTGGTGGCAGACTGAAATGAGAGATTCTAGGAAGAAGAGACTGTATGACATTGAACTTGAGCTCTCACTGTAAGAAGTAAAAACAATGGAAACAGAAACAATCTAATTACCAATCAATGTAATGTAATGAAATATAATGTCATACAACTGAGGGAAAACATACACATATCACTTTGGTCTTGCATTTGTTTTTTTCAGGTGGTGACAGGAAAGGAGTACATGTTATATTCTCTTTCTCTCCCTGTTACGTGTACACAGACACCGTACGCATACACAAACAGGGATGCATAAAGCTGTATGCTCTGACATGCCTAGGCAATTGGCCAAGCACAGCAACATATGTGTGTGGAGTAGGAGCAGCAAAGGAGTAAGATAACTGGATTGGACAAAAGTAATGAAGGCCACAAGAAAACCAAAACCAAAATCACCAATCTCTCAATCAAGGTAAGATGTTACAACTGAAACTGCTTCTTTTATTTCTTTGGCAGACATTCATCCAATAAGAACTTGCCCTCTTTTCTTGCCATTCTAAGTAATTATATAACCTTTGTACCTAAAGATTTAAGCAAATAATTTTTTATTAGTTGGTCTCTCTTGTAAGGGCATTTCTTATATGTCTCATCCCTAGAGATAGTTGCTTTGTAATTTTAGCATATTTGTATATTTACATTTCTTTTTAAAATTAAGATTAAAAATTTTATTGTTCATTAGCTTGCAAAATCATACCTTGTTGGCGGTTAGCTGTTTGTGCCGCTGGTGGGAAGTCCCTAAAACTTGAGTATCAGATAATCAATTAGATGTGAGTCACTCAAAGCACGGGACTTTAAACAGTCAGCTTGATAGCATTCTGTGATAATACTATATTACCTTCCTTTTACGTAATGTTTTTACAAGTTAGAAAACACTTTGATAAATTGTCTCTATCGTCTAGATGAGGAAACAGCCTCAGATAACTTAAATGACCCGTGAGCTATTTAAGTGGCTAATCATAAACACATATCATTGAGCAGGGCTCTTAAGGGAGTAATGATACCATACCATGATATCACTCTGTGAACACTTTGATCAGAAAATCTATGAAACGCTTTGTAATGGAAGGCAAGCTGTACATATGTCAACATTTTTTTTGTGTGTGTATGGACAAGGTCAAGGGTTTTTAATCTGATTTTTCAAAGGGGTTTTGTAATTCAACAATCTTTCAGGACCATCAACTAAAAGCTCATAGATTTCTACATCAGACAACCCTAATTTAAAATACTAGTTCTTCTGTTTGTTAGTACTGATAGTTATCACAAATTTATATCTCAGAATCCTTGTGAAGAGTAAATACAATGTATATGAAGTACCTACCACTGTTTTTAATAACTTCTTATAATCTTCCCATGTAGCAGAGTTTACTGTGTCTCAATATCCATTGAGAATCTGACTATACTATAGGACAATGACCAAATCATATAGAAAAATAGAACAGAGTTACTGAACTAGGAAACCAACCTTTCAGCTACCTAAAAACACCCCGGAAACCAGCCTGCGGTATGAGAGACATGTAGGAAGTCAGATTACTATCTCTGGTAATAATCCAGAAAACTACACAATAACTTCTGTGACAGTCCAAAATGGCCAGGACTCAATAACTAATAACTTCCCTAATTTTTGTCCCAGCACCCAACTTAGGGCTCACTAGAAACAAGCAAATATGTATCCCTAACCTACCCATAAGGTACCCCACTTCTAGTGAGCTAACACATAGCTTCCCCCTGCCAGGTGTCTCTAACAGGGATTAACTATAGCTGTCCTCTTGTCCCCACTGTAAAACTTCCCACTCCAGTGCCTGTCAGTCGCTGCCAAAATGTCAGTGACTGTGGTTGACATCTTTGCTATAGCAAGCTCAGAATAAACATTTTTCCCTTTTCTCAGTGGGTTGTCTTGGTTGATTTTCACATTATTCACCTTCCAAAGTAATAGAAATTTAGCTTTGGACAGCAAGGAGAAGCTATAAACACTGCAGCTTCCCTTGCAATCAGACATGTTCTTAGACTAAGTCGTGACAACGGGGTGAAGCTGACAACACTGCGTAGCAGGTATCCAGTATCATGCTTTAAGATATAGCCAGCAAGATGCTTTATTTACAACTGGAAAGACATGGAAACAGCCTAAATGCCCAAAAGTGGATGACTGGATTAAAAAGATGTGGTACATAAACACAATGGAATATTACTCAGCAACCAAAACAAATAAACACATGCCTTTTGCAGCAACATGGATGGAGCTGGAGAAGATCATGCTTAGTGAAATAAGCCAGAAAGAAAAGGAAAAATACTAGATGGTTTTACTCATAGCAGGAGTGTAACAGACCACGAGAGAAAATAACTACCAATAATAATGATCAGTTACAGACCAGAGACAATTTATAGGGGTGTAGTGCGGAATGGGGTCAAAACCAGTAGGGGGAGGGAAATGCACTAGACTATGGTGATGGCACATGGGTGATTTGGTGATGGGAAGCCCACGGGGATTACAACTGAGATGGAAAAATGCACAAAATGATGTAAAAATAAACTATTATATTATTTATTAAAAAAAAAAAAAAGATATAGCCAGCAAGAACTCTTGGTCCCTTTATGCGTTGGAATGCTAACTGGATTGGCTATAAGCAGGTTTGGTCTCTGAAAAAATTTGATAGATCAGAGCTGTCATATTAGCTCCAGAATTCTGTCATAATTCTATGTGTTTATATTTTAAATAATATAACAATAGCAGTGCATACCATCTATGTAACCTTACTATGGTGTGAGACACCACTGTAACTTTTTAATAAATACTGATTAACTATTTAACGAAATTCTATGAAATAAGTTCTACTACTAGTGTTTGTGTTTTTGAAAACGTGGGACAAAAGTTAAATAGCATACTCAAGGACAAGCAGGTTTTAAGCTACTAGTATTTGTGGGCTTCTAGAACTTGCAGCTGAACTTATACCAAATCAATGTCCTTAACAAAGAAAGCTAAATAACTTATAAGTAGTTTAAACAAGGATATAATATGCAAAATTTGAAAGCAAGTCTATCTTTTTCTACTTTCAGGAATAGGTCAGGATGCTCAAGAACTTGCTTCTGCCCTCTTGTCTAGAGATAAAGGATCAAGGGTGATTTTCTCAGAGAAATTAAGCTCAAAAATTTTAATTTTAGCTTTCAAAAGAAAAACCTCTTAGTCTATTTCTAAATGATTTTGGAGCATTTATATACCTTTTTAGCCCAGTACACATTTCACCAGATCATCATCATCATCATAGACTATTTATTACATATATACCATATACCAATAGTTGCACTGATGTCTTAATATTATAGTATCTGATATGCCTAGATGTTTAAAGACAACGCTATTAGAAAACAGAAGCATTTTAAGTATAAAAAGTTCCTCTTACCTTTATCATTCTGGATAGATCGCCAGCATCTGCTAATTCCAAAACTATGTTCAGTTCATTATCTTCAATGAATGATGCATAATATTTAATTACATTTGGATGGTTAAGTTGCTGAGGAAAAAAAACAGGCATCAAAAATCCTTTTTACAAATTCCCAAGAGTTTACTTACAATTTCAAAACTTAATTTAATGAACTTAAATACCACACTTCCTTTTTGTTACAGAAATCTTAACATGAGCATGTTTTTCTTTAAACTAGTAAATTTTGAAAAAAAAATATAATTACTGAGAGTAAAACTAGTTATCAATCAATTTTAATATTCCTTTTGGAAATAATAAAGCAAGTTATGGACTTCAATTTTTTAAGATAATAAATACTACAACCAATATATGTGTAAATATATATAGATAACATGAATGATAGATTAAATCAGCAGCATACTAAGATTCAAACTTAACATAATTTTACTGAAAGTCAGTGTTGCAAAAATTAAGTCCGAAAAAAAATCTGTTTATAAATGTGGTATTTTAATGCATCACTTTTATGAACATATTCATTTACATTCAAAGTAGCAACAGTTCACTTGTTATTTACCTTAAGGAGATCTATTTCTTTGATGCAATCAGCACGTGCTTTGGCATCCATTAAATCAAATATCTAAAAAAAAAAAATAGAATCCAGAAAATCTTATAAAATAATATGGTTCAAGCTCCTACACAAGGACACATACTATAATAATCTACATTTAATTATATACACATTAAGAAGTCTCTTGGCCTCTCTGGTGGCTCAGGGGTTAAAGAAACAGCACTTATCAAGCCACTGCAGCATAAGTCCAATCACCAGCCAGCCAGGGAGCTGATCCACATGGTGCAGCAGATCTCTCCTGTGTTGTCCACTGCTTCCTTCAGCAGTGTATTTCAGTAAATCTGCCTGTTCTGTGCTACATTCTCTCTGATGAATCCTCTCACTTCCCCACCAACCCTGGCTCACACCTTAGTTCCTGTATGCATAAATAAATCTTTTAAAAAAAAAATCTTGGCAATTATCTCACAAAATCACTATAACTTATATTTTTTCTTCCAAAAACAGTAAATATTAAAAATGAGAAAAGAGTGGCCCTCCCTGTGGTGAAGCGGGTTAAAGCACAGCACTAAGAAGCTAAGCCACTTCAGCATGAGTTCGATCCCCTCCTGCCCCGGAGGTGACCCACATGGCGTGGCAGACTCTCCTGTCCCACTAGCTGCTCCCCTCAGTGTACTTTGTTTCTGCTCCCCACTCTGTCTCTGGTGAATCCTCTCACCACCCCTGCACCTCTGGCCTGTACCCAGTTCTGTATGAATAAATAAATAAATCTTTAAAATTTTTTTTTTTTTAAAATGAGAAAAGAGTACATCTAGCTATTTCAGGTCTTAAGTTTATATGGAACAGAATAAAAGTTTTGATCATTAAGCTAGAAAATTAAAGTAATATGCATTGAACAATACATGTTAAATGTATTACATAAATGATGTTAATTAATTCTTATTTAATCCTGATGAGGCTGACAATATTAGTACCACATTTTACAGATGAAGTAAAGGAAGTTTACAAAGCTTATGAGACTGAATAAAATTCACAAAGATAATGGAGCAGCCAGAATTCATTCTGTTATCCAGCTAGAACCTGAGTTCTGAACCATTAATCTGTATCGTCAAAGCATGGCTATGAGGTCTGATGCATGAATTCTTAATAGAGATGAAAACAACTCTTGCACAAACAGATATATCTGTGGAATTAAAATTCTGGAGGAGTAACAAGGTAAAAAAAAAACATTCTTGGTGGGTAGAGAGGGGGATGATATGAAGAAAAAGTTAAGAAATATAGTCCAATGTTGAAAGTATAAAAATAACACAATCAAGGGAATGTTCTCTGAAACCAATGTCTCAAGACATTCTAAATGTGTGAGAAAATAATCAATAATTAAAACATAAATGACAAATATTGCAGACAATATCGGATTAAGACACTATTATAAACTGATTAAAACCCTAGCCACATAAGGTTTTTTTAAAAAAAAGTCATTTATAGTTTTAAACTTGATGAAGTCTTACTAATTCAGATTTAACAACTGATTCCAGGAAAAGTAGGTGTGTAAAATGAAAACAGTGGTACATTCCAAGTCTTTTAAATTCAGAAAAGGATTACTGAACACCTTCCAGTCTCTTTACATATATTGCTTTCATCTTCACCACAATCTTACCTGATAAAGGTTCCAATTTAAAATTGAGGACTGGGGCTCACTGACTGCAGAACATCCCCCTAGCATGGGGTTGTAGGGGGGAAGCCTTAACTGTCTCCTCCACCACAAGGAATAATTTTATTCTCAGTTTTTAAATTTTTGGTTCTCTTATTTGCTGACTGGTAGGTAAAGACTTATCCCTATAGACCTCATCTCTTATTTAAAGGGAAAGAAGATGTATGAGAGAGCGTAAAAAGCACAGTGGAGGGAGATATAAATTACAATCAATGAACAAGGTAATCTCCAGATAAGTCTCTACTCCCAGCCCTTTCCTGGCTAAAAATACAAACACTCTAAATATCAGGGAGGCGGGAGGAGAGACGGGCAGAACTTAGTCAAGGTAAGTCTAGAAACCTCGCTTCTCCAACATTAGGGTGTGCAATCTGGTTTCTCGCAGTCTGGTGCTCTCATCTTAATGCATCAACATATCCAAACTGCAATGAAAAGAAAGGCTTCCATTTCCTTCTGCGGATTCCTTAAAGTGCAGGCAAATGATGGTATGGAATAGGGTATCTGTTTGCATTCTCATCCTATCATTACCACACCTTTCCTTCTAAGGCAATGGCTTTTAACTCAGGAAGTTAGCATAGAGTGGTTAACTTCCATTCCATTGGTAAAACCAGTTTACCAAAAGGAATGGGGGAAAGAGAAGTCACTGAAGGGACTAGAAAGGGATACAGGAGAGGTAGGAAAGCTGAAGCAGTGCTTGCACTGCCAGCTGCTGGTGCTGAAGCAACAGATTCTGTGGAGATACCTGTAAGAAAGTCAATGGATGATGTCTATAAGTGGAGAAGGGGGATAAAACCCTAAGTGGGTAGAAAAAAAAAGTATGAATTCAGAGCACAGGCAGAGTCAAGAGAAGATGGGGCAGAATAGTATCACAATCATACAAGCACATCTAAGAGCTGAGCTTACCTCTGGTTAAACAAGAGATGACATTCTCTACTGAGCATGAATTCATAAGGACTGTTGCTGTGGCTTCAGAGTAGCAGCTTTTAAATTCTACTGCAGGCAACATTATAACTATCTATTGATTTGGAGTTCTTGAAATGTGGTTAAAATACATGAAGCAGAAAGAACCAGTGAGTGCCTCGTAGAAGAAAAGCAAGCAAAAACCCAAGAAAAGGCCCGAGTCCTAGGTTATGAGACCCAGCACTATGGTTACATGTCAAAAGAGAAGTGAAGACTACACCCTGCCTATAAACTATGATGGGGCTAACAAAATGGAGCAGATTCCAAAGAGCTTAATTGGCTCAATTAACTGAAGAGAGTCTGGGATAGTGAAGAAAACAAATGAAGCCACATCTCACATAACAAATTAAATAGTATGGAGAATATGGAATAGTGCTTGGCAGACAGGATGTGGTACAGAGTAGTCTGGCTGGAAAGAGGAGGGAGAGATGGGAATTGTAGTTAGATAGGGAACTTTGAGAGCTTGAGGCAGAATAAGTGAGCACAGAGTAAACATGGTGGTGGAATGAAGTGGTCACTTGGCACCATGAGGTCAGGTGTGTGGAGACACCAGCAGCCTGGGGTCAGAGCCAACACAGTGCCAGGGGAGGGGCAGGGGAAGTGAGAGCAGAGGGCTCAATGACAGAGTCATCCACTCTTAGATGTCTACACCCAAAATACTGAAACACTAATTTGAAAGGAAATCTGTACCCATATGTTCAACGCAGCACTGTTTACAATAGCTAGGATATGGAAACATCCTAAGCGCCCAAAAACAGATGAGTGGATCAAGAAAATGCAGTACACAATGGACTAGTTACTTCTCAGTGACCAAAGCAGACAGACATTTGTGGCAACATGGATGGAGCTAAAAAGAATAATGATAAACTGAAATAAGTCTGAAGGAGAAAGGTAAGAACTAGCTGGTGTCACTGATATGCAGAACACAGAGAAGCCAAACTAAAAATCAGAGAAATACAAACTTAAAAATTAACCCTTCAGGACAGCTATAGAACGAACATCTAAAGGGGAGGGGTGAGGGTGAAGGGAGGAGGCACAATGAACTGTAGTGGCAAGTTGGTGTACCCCATGGTGGCGATACCTAATGGGGAGGACCCTAATGCTATCTCAATTAAGACTAAATTAAAAAATGAAAAGCACTGCCGACTGGCTAACAAGAGTGGGGGGAAAACAGGAGATTCGCTTCTAAGCCAGAGAAGGCATAAGAAGGCAGGGAGGAGCATAAGGTCTGAAAGCCAGCACTTATGAAGATGAGTATTTCTATTCCAACTCAAGAAAGCAACAGTCTCTTATAATAGAGAGGAGTAGGAGGAAAGTGGCATAGCAAGGCTCACTTAAAGAACACAGAAGTATTTGAGTTAAGAAGGTCAGAATACGGTTTGTTAAAATCTCCCTGCCACACGAGAGCCACGCCCTCACTTTATTTGCACTTACACATTTTTCTGGCTCTAGTTTACAAAAACTTGCACATCTAATATTTTAAAAGATCATAATAACTTTATCCATATTGTTAGGAATATTGTTTACTAAACAGCTGAATATTTTTCCATAAATGATGTTTGGCGTTATTATTACTGTATAGTGAAGAGAATGAATATGAATATCCATTTTCTATACAGCAGTTTTCAATTAAAAAAAAACAAAAACAGAACACCAGACTTTATAACTCATCGCTTAAACTCCTTGGAAGTTATTTATGACTCTTAAAATAACACAGAACATAGAGGTAACATATATTGCAGACAGTACGAATCTAGTTACTGCCAAGTTCTGAACCCTGTGCTATTTCTCTCCCTCACTTGGTTTACTGAGGTCGTAATGATCTGTTCCCAGTTGTCTATAATTCAGGGCCTTTATAGCTGCTGTTCTCACTACTGGATCCTCTTCTTCCCGCTTCCAGTTGATTGACTCCTTAACCTCCATCCACATCAGCTTAACTTTCATACCCTCAGAGATCCTTCATTAAACACTTTACCTGCAAGCCCTCTTGCCTCACCTAATTTGCCTCTATATATTATACCATGGTCATTTTCTTCATTACATGTGATTACCTGATTCACTGCCTGTATCCCCAACAAAAATGTTGTACTCAATTAATGTATCCCTCGTGTAAGCTACAGTCTGTCACACCACAGATGGCCAAGAAATAATAAAAGAACATTATAGATTTTTTTCAACAGTAGAAATAAGTTATTTTAATTAGTCAATGGGTCTAGCCACTAGAATTTGTATTTCAAAAATTTTAAGATAAGCTCAAATGATCAAAAATTGCATTATCACAATAATAATGTGTAAAGTACCATAAGCTGCTAGTGAAAAAATATTGGCAAGCATCAAAATCCTCTAAACATTTAACAAGCCCAAATATTACCTCTTATAAGTATAGAAATGCCTAGTACAAATTAAGAAACCTTAATTTTGGAGATAAAAATCTATGCTTCATTGACAAGTAAACTAATAATTACTAAATTCTTATCCAATTCTTAAAAATTCAATATGTGGATAATTCTTACAAATATTTTCTAATTCCCATTTGCTCAAATAAACAACTATAAGTTTCCAGCAGAGTCTATAGGGATTCAATAATGAAAATGATAAAAACTACAGTATGAATTCAGTCATCACAGTGAACACTGGGAAAGAGACTTATATGTATATAACCACAGTGTCTATGAATATACTAATCACTATATACATTATGGAAGAAGTTATCGCTGTCCACTCTTTCTAACTGCATGAAAATCCAACTTCTAATTAGACACAGACATGCAGAATCTAGAATCTAAAATTAACATGCCAAAATACAATTCTTATTCCATATATTTTAAAAAGATTATTTTCAGGAAAGCTTTGTGGGGTTACCTGGATCAAAAAGGTACTCAATCACTTTACTTTTGTTTTAAAATATGCAAAAATACTTTCTAGTCTCATAAATATCACTGGCTGACAATGAATACCCTATGGTCAAACAGTGTTATTTGGACATACAGAGAAGGCAAAGAAAATTAAAAATTAAGACACTAATGAACTAAGGATTATACGACCTCGTGTATTATATCTTACCAGCCTAACAACAGTGAGAAAAATTAAAAGTTACTCAGTAATGAATTAAGGACTGCACTTCTTCATAGTACTATATCATACCACCCTAACAACATGTAATTAAATTGATAAAAATCAATTCAAATTAGATCGCTTTAATCAATTAGAGAAATAACAAAACGGAGACTGCATGTAAGGGATCACACAAATCTTTGATAATCTTTTCACAAGGGAAAAAGATTTGAGACCCAATTCACAACCCTTGTCAAGACTTCCCCAAAATCCCCCACATCAAGCCCCTCCCACGATAGTATCCACCTCAAGATTATAGAGATGTCTTCGTTACAAGCCCATGAACTATGTTCTTTCACCTTAGTGTCTCCAAAGTCACACACATTGACCAGTGAACAGCTGGTGATCAAAAATTCAGTGGAATGAACTGTATGAACAGAAGGAAGGAAGTAGGGAGAATGGGAAGGTTTGTACACGGAATTTCAAACTGTTGCATCAATTAAGACACCATTTTAATTTTGCAAATGAATCATTATGGGATATGAATCAATTTTCCAAATAATGGTAAATAATGTCATACCCTCTAGGTTCTCACACAGCTAGATGATTGCACCAGAGCTTATTAGCATACTGCTCTCCTAAAAGCCCAGAAAAGTAAAATGTATGGCCTGAGGCAAACAAAATGTCTTGAAAACTATGCTTAGGAAGCTGCCTGGTAGCTTTAAAGTATCTTAATAAATAATTATATCAGAAAAATGAATTATAAAATTATATGAAGTCAGAAACAATATTACAGCCCCTAAAATAAGTAATGTAGCCTTAAGATAACAAGTTGCATAAGGAAATTCAGGGCTTGATTCTTTATAATTTTCTAAAAGCAGCAGATTCTTGAGAAAGAAAATGCTCCAGCTAACAACAGTTTCATTTTCAGCTGCAGAGATGGCTTTTTGAAAAGGAGGAAGCACAGGCTTTACTGTTTTGTACAAGTGTAATACACCACAAAGGTCAACAGCATGCCTGAAATGCAAATATATTTCTCCTCACAAACGCTTAAGACCCTGTTCCCCAATCATATTTGTAAGTTTCTATAAAGAAGCTTACATTTAAACTAGAAGATACCACAATATAAGCAGATAGGAAGCATGATCCTCTAAGAACACAAACTCTGACGTGAGGCAACAGGAGACAGAGAAACTATTACATTACATGTGTGAACCAAAAAGGACACATGAGGGTATCAAAGAAGTATTGTTTGAAATCGCAAAAAATAAACACTCTAAACATGCTTATTTCTTAAAACACCACTCCCCTTAAAAAATCATAATCAAGCATTAAATTTTCTTATGCAACTTGTTAGTTTAAGGCTACATTATTTAGGGGTTATAATACTGTTTCTGACTTCATATAATTTTATAATTCCTTTTTCTGATTATAATTATTTATTAAGACACTTTAAAGCTACCAGGCAGGTTCCTAAACATGCAAGCAACATACAACATGAACAAGTTGTATGTGAAAAGATAAACTACAGCCACATGCACCAGAATTATTACTTGCTCAACCATGATGTTGTGTGAAAAAATACCAGTTGAAATATATAAAGATTATATATTTCGTTTATATAAAATTTTAAAGTGCAAAAGCAAACAGATCTGTTTAGAAATATATACAGATATGGAGAAAATGATAAGAAACGATCACATAAAATTTAGGATACAATTACCTCTGAGAGAAGGGAACAGCAGACCTGGGTCAGAAATATTTTTAACGTTTTATTTCTTATGCTGGATAGTGGCAAGGAGAATGCCTCTATTTTTCTTTATATCTAACATGTGTACCTTCTAAGGTTTTTTATTTCATTAAAAATAGAATGAAAAATGGTCATCCCTGCAACGGCTGTGGCAAGTATACTGACCCTTTTAAAACCAAAAAAAAAAAAAAAGAGAGAGAGAGAGAGAGAGAGGATACTTTGGTTTCACAGGTCTCTATATAAAAAAGACGGGGGGGGGGCATACAAAAGGCAGAGACTATGAGCAGGTGTGAACAATTAGACCTTCTCTGAAAAAGGGAAGTAAAACTGTAATATCCAACTGAGTCAGAAAGACACGCACTCATAGACCAGAGAGCAAGCAGAATTAGAGTGTCTAGTACTTGTGAGGGTAACTGAAACTTCCAGGGTTCCCCAAGTGCACCCTGCAGAGCAACTCCTTGGACCTAATACACTGGGGCTAGGGTGGGATTTGGTAAGAGGAACTGGAGCAAAAGAAAGGAAACCGAGAAAGCCGGGACAGGTCGGCATTGGAGAGCAAAGCTAATTCTAGAATGATACAAATACAACATGGAGATTTTAAATCAGACCTCAGTTTTCAGATTTTATCCATTTCATTTTTTTTTAAATAAAGTTCACTTGATTCTCCTTTCATTTATTACCAGTGTAGTTCTCTACATTAATTTAATACTTCACCTTAGTCTTTTATTGACTTTAGGCAAAACATTTTATGAGCCTTGCTTCCCACTGTGAGATTTACAGTGGCAGAATTTCTGTTGAGGAGAGGACATATAGGGACAGGTCTGGTTGGAAGACACGGTGATAACTCAAATTTGCCTCTTAAAACAATAGCTGTGAAAGTTTTTCCAGAATCATTTCTTTCACTGCCCAATATGGGTAAACAAAAGCAGTTACATGTTTAAAGTCCAGAAGTAATATTAAAACAAAAAATTATACAATACTACATTCATAATTTTAAAGTACAACTTTTATTCTTTTCCAATGTTCTCAATTTAAAACTGCTATTTCCCCATTATTTAAGACACACTTTATTATCACACAGTTAATTTTACACTAATTTATATAATTAAAATCATCTTACCTGTACTTTTTTTAAAGCTACTGGCACTCCATCCAAGAGACAGGCTGCTCTATAAACTTCACTAAATTGCCCACGGCCAATTTTCTTTTCTATTCGAAAGTTGGCTAATGTATTGTAGCCCATATCTGGTCGTAAGGCCTTCTGTAATTAAAATAGGAAAAGTTTATAATCACACAGTATACACAAAAATCACTGATTGTTTTCACATAAGTAGGTGATACCTATGGTAAGCTTGCAAATATCCACTCATTCAACAACTATTTATTGAACTCTTATTCAAGCCATACACACACACACACGCACACACACACGATACATATCATACCGTATATAATCCATTTCATACATATGTGGTTATATACATAAACATATACAAACATGTGCATGTGTGTGTTCACTTAACCCAATATGCCAACCAATGTATGAAAAACTTCTGAACTTTCCGATAATTATTCAACTTCTACAAAGAATATCTCTAGTGGAAGGGAGTTTATCATCACATCACTACTTTTTTCAAAGACTTAAATTTGGGGAGTCAGTTTTAGGCTCACGGCAAAACTGAAAAGAATGAGTAGTGATCTCCCAAATGTTCTTTATCCCTCCCCCAAAATGAAGTTTCCCCATTATAAACATTCCCTACTAAATATCCCCTACTTTTGTTACAATTCATCAATCTACATGGATATGTCATTATCATCCAATTTCTATAGTTTACATTGTGGTTCAATATATGAGTTTGAACAAAAGTATTTGACATGTCTCCATCATCATGGTATCAGAAAAAAAAAAAAAAAAAGAATGTCTGCACTGGCCCTAAAATTCCACTTGGCTTCACCTACTGATCTCTCCTTCCCTACTAACCCCTGGCAGTCTCCGATTTTCTGTCTGCAGTTTTGCCTCTTCCAGGATGTTACAGAATTGGAATCACACAGTATGTAGACTTTTTTTAGATTGACTTCTTTTACCCAGTACAACAATTACACTTTTAAACAACTTTTTGCTTGTGGAAAAGGCATTTCTATTTTAACTTTACACATTTTTTTTTTTTTTAAATTAAGGTAACACTAGTTTACAGCTTGGTGTATGATTCTGAAACATAGGGTCCAACCTCTTTAGGTGTATGTTATCACATCATCCCCAATACCAATAAACCCATAGGTTCTATGAGGCACTGTACTCTGTTGCTAGGAATGAGGAAATGAATTCAAAATGTGCAGTGCTTTCAAAGAACTTATATACAGTACATGGAATAGCTCTTCACTGTAGCATGAGAAATAAAGGTAGAGTATCAAAACCACAGCAGTCATTCTTATTTTAAGACAAAACCCAACTCCTTATAAATTTCATCTACTCTTCTATAGTTCTAGTATTCATTTGATTGTTCATGGGTGTTGTTCCTCCATAGGGTCACAGGGTAAACAATTAATTGAACATCCACTAGAGTCACACACCTCCTACTGCTAAAATTACAATATTAACTCAAGACAGAATTACTTGTGCATCTCTTGATACTCACATTCTACTTTGAGCATCACTACATACATAAAATATAACCAGATAATCTAATTTAGCTACCATATGCACCTGTACCTTCTCTGTTTTGGCTGAACGTGCACAGACTTGCCATTGGTAAGTACACTCTCCCAAACCCGAGCCACTCTGCTCACATCCTTCTGGGCCTTCTGAATCAACTTGGAATAAACATGACTTTCTTCTGGGATCAGAAGAGTGCACAAATGAAGGAGACTGAATACTAAACATCTACTAATACAAGAGGAGAAGATATTGGTTCTTAAACACACCACATTCAACATGAATCAGCCTTTCAAATAAATCTCAGTTCTGGCTGATGGCTCCATGACTTATGCAAAGGCTGTTTTCATATATGATTAGTACTGTACATCAACTATAACACAATTTTATCTTGTTAATTTCTATACTACTCCCATACTAGCAAACACTGTAAAATTCTGCTAAGGTTTCACTGGGGCTTTATATACCATCTAGTTTAGTCTCATGGCATCCTAAATCCAGATGTTATCACCTATAGCTAGCTGATTCCCAAGTCCTGATTCCCAAGGATAGCCTACACTCTCTTGCTGTGGGTACTAGCAAAGTCATCTACAATATGACCCAACATTATGAAATCCTATATGATAATCCACTGATGTTTTCAATTTCAAGTCTTTTGAGAAAAAGAACTAGGGATAAAAACTCATGTTAGAAATAAAAATGAAAATACAGACCATAATAAAAAAATAAATAAAATGATATCGAGAAACACCTTGGCAAGTTGTTCATTTGTAAGATTTCTCTACGCAGTCACTGAAATTAATTTATAATTGTCACTGTGACTAAATGCCATCATTTCACACAGGAAAATTAAAAAACAAAGTACCACTTCTTAGATAGAATGGATGTTATTACTTTTTAAAGTTTGTGTGTGTGTGTGTGTGTGTGTGTAATGTTAAATAAAGCTCCATCTGAATAAAAGAGATTTTTAAAATTGGCTTTGTTTTCTAAGAAATCTTTTTAGAAAAATTTGACAATTAGGATAATCTGTACTATCTAAGAAATAGATTTCCTTCCTTCCCCATAAGGGCTTTCTTTCTGATAAGGACTTATCAGTCTCAACAGTAACATACATAGCTTCATCATTAGGAACACTAACACAATCTAAATTCTCTAAATTTGAGTGGGAATTCCATCTTCTGTCTGCACAATAACTGACAAACATTAGCATGAACTGCTAAGGCACTGTGACAACCACATGCTGAGAGCAAAGTCTCACTAATGTGTTTTGGCATGCAGGTTTGTAATCACACATTTACATATGCAATGACCTACATTTGCATGTCAGATCACACACTGTCTTGGTTTATTAAGACTGGGCACCTCCCTGTGCTTGGCGGTCAGAGTGGCGAGAGAGGGCCAGAGGGCGGTGTTTTTTGGCAGTTGAGGGATGAACTGCCACCAAGGATTAGGTTGATATGGCCTGAGCATTAGACACTTCATTAGACGTAATCTGTTTAACAGTGGGCAGAGTATGTAAACTTCACAGCCCATTTGCGGCACCTTTTTCCCCCCATGGCCTTTCTTCAAAGGGCAGTGTGGGTGAGTGACAGCTTGTCTCATCTGCTCCCATGTCCTGTCACCCAGTGTAGACTTGGAGAGCTGACATGAGAAGAAGCATAGCTGCACATCTCCTACTACCCTTGGGTCTCTGCCACACTGTAATTTGTATAAAAAAAACAAGCTTGTGTAGGATGAGGTCTCTAAAAGTCCATCAGATTGATAGTAAACATAGTTCAGCATATTCTACTACATTGTATTCAATGCCATATCCCACTCTGATGAGCTACATTCCATCACAGGTAGCACTACATTAAGTGCTTTAAATGGAAAGATGGCATCATCAAATGAGTGACTCTCAAGGAAAGAACTCCTTTTTAAAATAAAGGCATATTCTCCTTTTTGAGTGATATCCATTTCCACGTATATTTTTGAGTCAGCATTTGAATTATACTAGGAATAAAATAATTCAGCAAAATAATGAAATTCAATCAGTAGGAAATAAAACGCACAGAAAACCACTTAAATTACATGATTTGTGTTCTCCATTTGGTCTGAGTTTTACAGACCTTTGACCTTCATGACTCAACTATGTAAAATGGTTCATGTATTTTGCAAGGTCATTAAAAAACCTTCAATTTTTATGCAAGTGAAACCTATCTTGTTTCTTCCACTAAAATAAGAAGATACTGCAGCTGTACCTAGACAGAGGACGCTAAGTAACTTCACACCTAGCCATGGGCTTCACCTGCCTGCCACTGGTTCACCAAGTGCACCACAAGCTTTGGCCCCTCCAAGCAAGGCATTTGCTTGTCTTCATACCTTCTGAATAACTTTAATTTGTACACCCAGCAAACCTTAACTCATCTTTGAGATTCAACTGTTGGCCCTTCCAAGGAATCATCTTTAGCTCACTAAGACAACTTTATTGGTTCTTGCCCTTGTGCATCCATAGCAGTTGACAGCAGTCATTGAATTCTATTAACACATGTACAAACTCAGGCAATGAGCTAGGTTCCCACAATGGATTTCAATTACTTGTTTATACATATATATAAACATATATGTGTGTGTGTGTGTGTGTGTGTGTGTATTTCTCTCTCCAAAGCAGAGACCAAGTATCTTTGTGTCCAGATGCCATGAAGGCCGTCACCTTAATGTGGTGAATAAAAAAATTTTCACAAAGTAAGTTGATGCAACTGAAGATCTGATGAATGAAAAGGCTTTACAATGCAGAGTGCATGACAGTGACTATGAAGGCTCTAAGTAGACCAGTGACAGACAAACGTACAGTACAATATAAAAAAGGCATCAGACCTGCAAAGCTTCCTCTAACAGCTCCCAACAGGAGAACAGAATTCACTTCAGTCCACACAATTACATCATTTAAGCAGTAATCCACTGTCCCTATAGAGCGATATGGGTAGCAATGAATAGTGTTTCAAATCAGTCTTGCATCAAAGCCTGACCTAGATATGGAATTAGGGGAAAAATCCACTGGGTTCCCATATCGCTCAGTAGAATAAAGCACAGGTTCTAGCGTTAAAGAACAAGGCCCCCATCTAAATCCTAATTCTGAAAGTATCTTTCTGAGCTGGGCAATCCATTCAAACTTTGTTCCCTACTTTTGTAAAATGAGGTTAAGTCTACCTAAGGAATTGTGTGTTAGATGAAAAAAAAAAAAAATAACAGAAACATGAGCACAGCAAGTGTTCACTAAAACTTAACGCTCCCTTCCCCAAGAGTGCTAATAGTACTGTCTCTCCACAAAACCACTTTCATAACAGGGCTGTCACTTCTATAAGAGCCTACTTGATGTCCTCTATTTTTCAAGAATAAAACTTTTTTGTTGTTTTAAGCAAACATAAATCCTAAGATTTGAAACTTGCACTGCCCAATGTTAAATAGTGAGTGTATCTATTTTAGTTTGACCCATCTTATGTTAGAATTCAGGTTTGAATTTTTTTTTTTTAATTGAGGTGAATTGGTTTTCAATACTGTAAGTGATTTAGAGGTACAGGATCACACCTCCTCAGATCCATGTCACTACACCACACCCACCACCCAAC